AACGCCCCGCTGCACTGCAACGCATGTGCAGCGGCTGGCAAGCCGGCCAATCACCGGGTCGGGAGCAAGGGCTGCTCCCCTCCTGCTAAAAAGGGCAAAGGTAGGCCCTCCGCCGCCCCTGCCGTTTCCGCCGCCGCCGCCGCCACTGCCACCGCAGTCGCCGCTGCCGCCACTGAGGAGATCGGAATGGACTGCCAATAATGGCCCCATTCCGCCTCCTCCAGGCGAACATCAACCGCTGCGCCGCTGCTCAGGATCTCCTGCTCCAGAGCATGGCGCAGTGGTCGATCAATGTCGCCGTGGTCTCCGAGCCGTACTTTGTCCTGCCCAGGGATCACTGGGTGGCGGACCTGGACGGCTCGGTGACCATCATCTCGTCGGCCGCCGCCGGTACCCCGACTCTTGAGGCTGCTCAAAGAGGCCGGGGTTGTGTCGCGGCACGGTTCGGAGAGCTCGCTGTGGTGGGCGTGTACTTCTCTCCGAACCGAACTCTCGCCGAGTTCCACAACTCCTTGAGGGAGTTGGTCACTGTCGTCGTCGGGTTCCGTTCCCTCCCCGTGCTCGTCCTCGGGGACTTCAACGCCAAAAACTTGGCTTGGGGTTCCCGGTTCACCGACGTCCGGGGTAGGATGGTGGAAGACTGGGCCCTTGAGACAGGCCTAGTCGTCCTGAACCGGGGTTCTGTCCCCACGTGTGTGCGGATGCAGGGCGAGTCGGTGGTGGACATTTCGTTCGCCAGCCCTGCTCTGTCACCGCGTATTGTTGGCTGGCGCGTCATGGAGGAGGTGGAGACGTACTCCGACCACCGGTATATCCGGTTCGACGTCTCCGCCGAGTCCGCAGACCCGCCGGTCAGACAGGCCCCATGTGGCCCGCGTTGGGCGCTGAAACAGCTGGACCGGGAGCTGCTCCTGGAAGCCGCCATCGTGCAGGCCTGGGTGATACCACCGGTCAGGCCTGCCGACGTTGACGATGAGGCCAAGTGGCTCCAGGACGCCATGTCCAGGATCTGTGACGTGGCGATGCCCCGGATCCGGTCGAGGCAACAGAAGCGCCAGGTGTACTGGTGGTCGCAAGAGCTGGCGGCTCTGCGCAAGGCGTGCACTACTGCGCGACGCCAGTACACTAGGCACCGCAGGCGCCGTATCCGTCCTCCTAATGCGGAGGCGAGAGAGGCGGAGTTATACGAGGGATACAGGGCGGCGAAGGCCCTCCTCAAGGCGGAGATATTGCGGGCCAAGGAGGAGGCCCGCCGAGAGATGCTGGGGACTCTGAATAGAGACCCGTGGGGACGCCCGTACCTGATGGTACGCGACAAGCTCCGTGCTTGGGCTCCCCCGCTCACTCAGAGTCTCCGGCCAGAAGTCTTGGAGGAGGTGATTGGCGCCCTGTTCCCCCGACTGTGGAGGGGCTTCACCCCTCCGTATATGACTCCGCCCCCTGCGGTGCCCGACGCGGGCTACAGCGACGACGACGATGACATCGTCCCAGAGGTGACCGAGGCAGAATTGAGAGCGGCGGTGCGCCGGATGGGCGCCAAGAACACCGCCCCAGGACCCGACGGCCTGCATGGCAAGGCATGGGTCCTGGCCTCAGAGGCTCTCGGGCCTCGATTGATTGGTCTCTACAGCGCATGTCTGGAGAGAGGCCAGTTCCCGCTTCTCTGGAAAGCGGGCAAACTGGTCCTCGTGCGGAAGACGGGGCGCCCTGCGGATTCTCCGTCCGCGTACCGGCCCATAGTGCTGCTCGACGAGGTGGGGAAAGTCTTCGAAAGAATCATTTCGAACCGCCTCGTCGCGCACCTGACGGACATTGGGCCGGACTTGTCGGACGGCCAGTTCGGCTTCCGCAGAGGGCGCTCCACGGTGGACGCCATCATGCGCGTTAGAGACCTCACGACGGGGACTGCAGTGTCCAGGGGTAAGGTCGTAGTGGCGGTGTCTCTGGACATCGCCAACGCCTTCAACTCCCTGCCCTGGAGCTGCATCTTGGAGGCACTCCGATATCATCGGGTGCCTACCTACCTCCGTCGTGTAATCGAGGCTTACCTGACGGACAGGTCCGTCAGCTACCCCGGTCACCGGGGCGAGTGGAACCGGCGAGAGATGTCACGCGGTGTTCCACAGGGTTCGGTTCTGGGGCCGCTCCTGTGGAACATCGGCTATGACTGGGTGCTGCGCACCGACCTCCCGAACGGCGTTAGCACAATATGCTACGCCGACGACACGCTGGTGCTAGCGCACGGGAGGTCGCACCAGGCGGCGGCCGACTTAATGGCGACAGCGGTTGCGACAGTCGTTGAAAGAATCCGGCAGTTGGGACTCGAGGTGGCGCTCCACAAGTCCGAGGCCATGTGTTTTCATGGCCGCGGGAACGCGCCACCTCCGGGTGGGTCCCAAATAACGGCGGGAGGGGTTACCATCGGCGTCGAGACGGCGATGAAGTACCTAGGACTCGTCCTCGACAGTCGGTGGAACTTCATAGAGCATTTCCGACGTTTGGCTCCAAAGTTGGAGAGGACGGGGGCTGCGTTCAAACGCATCCTCCCCAACCTCGGGGGGCCAAACGCCTCCTGCCGGAGGTTATACGCCGGGGTCGTGCGGTCCATGGCCCTCTACGGCGCCCCTGTTTGGGCGCCGAACTTGTTGCGGCGTCCTGCTCGGACGCTGCTCAAGTCACAGAGGGTCATGGCGATCCGAATGATCCGCGGATACCGCACGATCGCTGGGGAGTCGGCGAACCTCCTTGCCGGATTACCGCCGTGGGATCTGGAGGCGAAGGTGCTCGCGCGCGTGTATAACATGCGCGCGGAGGCACGTCGCCGGGGCGAAACTCCGCTGCCGCGCCAGATAAGTGCGTGGCGGGATGAGCTCCGGCGCGATCTCATGGCGGAATGGCAGCAGCGACTGTCGCAACCGAGGGCTGGGCTCGCTGCCATTGCAGCGGTAAGTCCCCTCTTTGAGGAGTGGCTTGAGAGACGCTACGGCGTCCTCACCTACCGCCTGACGCAGGTCCTCACCGGACATGGAAGTTTCGGGAGGTACCTGTGTCTGATGGGGCGGGAGGAAACGCCCGGGTGTCATCACTGCGAGGACCGCCCTGAGGACACGGTGGAACACACCGTAGCGGAATGCCCTGCGTGGGCTGAGCACCGCCGTGCCCTCAGGGAAGTGATCGGCGATGGCGACCTCTCGCGTCCGGGCCTAGTGCAGGCCATGATGCGGAGCGAGGGGGACTGGGATGCCGTCTCCTCCTTTTGCGAAGCAGTCATGCTAGCTAAGGAGGAGGCGGGACGCGTGAGGCAGCGAAGCGCTGCCTCCTCGCGACCCAGCCATCGCGAAGGACACACCGGGCGTCGGGGATCGCGGGACGATCTCCGGCCACCGTAAGCGCGGGCCTGCGGACGGCGAGCATGGGTGGCTCCCCGTCCGACCAGAAACAGACCCGAGCGTACGGCGCGTCGCGTTCCGCGCGCGCCTCAAAGAGCCATCAGACCACCACAGATGGGGCCCAATAGGGCCGATGCCGATTCGGAGTCGCGGAGAACCTAACGGGTAACCGGGGCTCCGGCTCGACGTGCAGGAGAAGGAACGGGGTGGTTTTTAGTCAGTAAGAGTCTGACACTCCCTTCCGCCTCACCCAGGCGGGAGCAGTCATTCGATGATTTTCCCCCCTTAAAAAAAAAAAAAAAAAAAAAAAAAAAAAAAAAAAAAAAAAAAAAAAGACCCAATTAACATAAGACTTTTTAATGTTTCGGTTTTAACCCTGGAAAATAGGCAGAAGCACATACACAGTAGGTATGCAGCCACATTTATTAGGTATGTTTTTAGTCCCATATTAAAGAGGGTCAACCTATTTTTTTTAAGGGGGGAAAATCATCGCATGACTGCTCCCGCCTGGGTGAGGCGGGAGCGTCAGACTCTTACTGACTAAAAACCACACCGTTTCTTCTCCTGCACGTCGAGCCGGAGCCTCGGTTACCCGTTAGGTTCTCCGCGACAGGGTGAACCTATTGCCTTGTACCGGGCACAATAATTAAAATAAAATGCAATTCAAGATTTTTTCCTACTACTGAGAAAATATCTTCATAATAATTTGTGCACCCCGGGAATCGAACCCGGGTACCCTTACTCCGTAGTTACACTTGCGATCATTCGACCAACAAGGCAATACTCGTTATGAATTAATTCTGTCTTCAATAATATGGTATAGTTAAAAAACTTGCTTACAAATTACAGTCGAATCGATATTACCAGCGTTGAATACTTTGGAATACAATGGGCCCTTCTGAGAATCGATTTTGACCATTGCAGGAACAAAAAGCTTTCAATGCGTAGGTATGGAAGTTTGTTGGACCCCCTACCAATGGTACGTGAATCGAAATGTATTGCTACTTTAGTAGTAGATACTTGATCACTGCTAATCGGACATATTTTTTTTTTATGCTATAAAAACTTTTTGATAAGAGCCTCTGAAACTCGAATGTTCTATACGTAACCAATTACTGAAGGGTTCATATTCCTTATAATTACATATTTCTCTAATTTACTTGCCTACAATTTCTTATCGCAATCAATCATACGCTAACGTCTGCTACAAAAACGAAGTCTAATAGGTAACTAACCTCTAAAATAATCTTAGACTTAAGACCAATAACCGATCGCTAGTTTCAACCGATTAACAATGATCTCTATCAGTGCTTTACGACGTCAAATTTGAGGGTCGAAGTAATTTGGGGGTGTTGCTAATGCGTGACTACATCCCTTCGCACCACCCAACTCTTGGGCTACTAAAATACAAAACGGGTCGAGGCTTGTCGCATTCAGCCAGCGAGGCCGGACGCGAGCGAACGACCGTGTCGCTATTTAAAAAAGTTGAATTTCAAATTCGGAACTGCCGCTCTTTTGTTTGTCATTGCATTTTGTTGGATAAGATTGCGAGATTCAAATAATTTTGTGATATTCTGTGTTAATTTTTAAATAAAATATAATAAAATCAAGATGGAGGGCTGCGGGATGAGTTGTATAAAATATTTGCTGGTGGTCTTCAATGGAATATTTTTGGTGAGTTAATTTTTTTCACATTATTTTTTAGTTATTGACGCCATTTTTAAAGGTTCGTTCGTTAGTTAATTCTTTAGTGTTTGCGATCGCAAACAGTTGTTTCGCACGTCTATTTTAATGAATGGTTATTTTTGTCACCGTACCGCTTGTTGTTTTCGCGCCGGTGCAGTTAACAACTTAATTTACGAAGAAACAATTCTCACGATTCACAAAAAGCTTATTTATTACAAAAAATGTTTCATGTACAACATATTTACTAATCGTTCCTGTAGTAATACCGTGTCATCATCGCGGGAGATTCAAATCTCGGTCATGATATTTTTAAACGACAACAAAAATATTATTTTCGGAATGAATTTCACTGTGATGGCGACTCTCAAGGGTAATTCTGAAATCGTACACATTGCGGCGTACTTAGTACAATGTGAATCATAGCTGGTTTAATTTTAATATTATCGTGATGGTTAATTACTCATAGGTAATAAAAATTTTCACAATGTACCTACTGAAATAGAAAGAAAAAAGACTTTATTTGATGATAAAAAAAACAATCAGCCGTACATAGAGATCCTCCTTTTTTTGAAGGCGGTAAAAATTCAATTTGATCATCTCGGTAGGTACCTAAACTTGAAGGTAATTTAAAATTTTCATAAGTACCTATTATTATTTAAATGAATAGTCAAAAAATATGTGCATGTAGTATATAATGTAAGTACGTAATTTTAAAATGACCTGCACTAAATTGGATATTTGTTGTTATACCTAACAATCAGGTAAGATTGGAGATCAGCAACAAGACGAAGCCAGGGCAAGTGATTAAATAGAATAAAATAAACTTCTTAGTAGAGTACTCTACTTTACTTCAGCTGGCGTAGATTTAGATAATATGTATTATAGATTAAACTGTCAAATACCAAGCGGTCACCGGTGACCGCGACCTATTGTTCTTTAATTGTGTCTATAAAACCGGTACTCGACGAGTTAATTTCGTCTATTACGCACTACGTGTATCTAGAATTCGTTTTAAATACACCTAACAACACAATTCCCTTACTAAATGATTTTTGCATTAAATTTTTCTTACTATTAATGGATGTAGTATAAAGAGACAACACAGGCCTTTTTAAGGCCAATCAAGGCCTACAGAGCTACTTAAATGGCCTGTGCCGGCTTAACGAGTACGTAAAGGCCTGTACTGTTTTCATTAGTATAATGGACCTTTTTTAAGTATTACATGTTGTATAACTGCACGGTTAGTGTGGTGGCTGGGCAATCGGTTGGCGTGGAACGCATAGCGGGTTTGAATTCAGCCACGGAGCAATTTGTTGTTTCGGGTCTGGGTGTGATGTGTATGTGAAATTGTATGTTTGTAAACGCACCGACGATACAGGTAAAAAATGGCAGGGGCAAAGTTGAAAAAAAATTAAACTGTCAAACACCGCGCGGTCACCGGTGACCGCAACTTTGTTCTTTAATTGTCTATAATGACGGTACTCAAAGAGTGGAAAGGGATTATATTCCTTTCAGTAGTAGTTAGGATACAAAAAAGTGAAATCTTTGCGTTTCGGTGTTTATAACTCAGTTTTTTTAAGTCGCAGTCAGGAGCTAATTTAATAGTTTGCCTCATTTTTGAATTATAACTATCGTAAGACGTACATACTAAATTAATTAAGCTATGTTTTTCAGCTTGTTTAACGAGGTACTTGATAAGAGTCACTGGTGTGGCTTTAAACTAGTCAACTGCCTCGTTAAACAGTTACCTACACGAGTAAACCGATAAACATATTAATTAATGATTGTTATGTTTTCAATTATGAATTTTGTATGCTTTGTACTACATAAATAACTGATAATGACTTTGTTATAATTGAACAAATAAACTTACCCATATTATGCAAAAACACACGTTGCAAATTAAACTTTAACTGTTCTTAACATTGTAGGTATTACAATTAAAACACAAGCACACACACGGAACATCTTTTTCAATAAACAAATTATCTTTAAACCCAGAGCTTTCGCTTCAATATACATAGCACAGTTCCTAGCAACGGAATGAATGATAAATTTCAACCATTTTACTTTTAACTCAAGCCCCATTTTAATATCTTCCCTTAAAGACGTCAGTGATGATGTCTTATTTAAGGTATTTCCATAATTAATTAGTAATTTTATTTGTTACGACGTCATATAGGCACAGGAAATTAAACCGTAAGATGACAGACTATGTATTATATTAACGTAAATCTATTCACGAGAGGAAAATTTTAGTCTGTATTTTTTTCCTTCAATTGACGTATGTGACGTCATTACCGCCTTATTGGTTCTGTGGTCGCAGGACAGCCAAAAAATCCAAATAATGACTATCTGGTTTTATTCCCGGAAAATATTTACTAAGAGTAAGATGTGACGGATCTACGTAATGTGATTTTAGTGACGTCACATTCTAGGATAAACCGGCAGGATTGAATTTTAATTAGTTTCTGATACAATAATATACAATCGCCAACCCGCATTGAGCAAGCGTGGTGATTAATGCTCAAACCTCCGTGTGAGAAGAGGATTTATTCAGCATTGGGCATATATAGGCTGTTGATGATGACGATGATGATGACAATAAAATAATTTTAATAGAATTATTGATTAATTGAGAAGAGCTGAAGACCGAGCTCAGTGGCGTACTATTGGAGAGGCCATATCCAGCAGTGGACGAATACGGGCTGACGATGATGAAGATGAAGATTGATGAATTGATTAGACACTTAATATCTAAGACCTGAATACTGAAACGCTACACAATTAAGCCGCGCTTAAGTATAGTTCTGTCACTTTCAATTCTTTGCAAAATAACAGAGATGGCGCGATATTTAGGTACAATTTAAAATTGAGTAGCTTTTCAATATTCGCGTGTAAGTGAACCCTAATTTAACAAACCTAATAACACCAACCAATCGACTTATCGAGAGCAAGATTCTTAATTTTTATTACATAACTGTGAATTTCAACTAAACTAGATCGATTATTAACAGAACTTTGAAGACTAATTATTATGTTTTCGGCTTACTCACGTAACTGTTTGCCGAGGAGCTCGACTAGTTTCAAACCATGCTAGAGGCTTATATTCATGAGCAGCATTCCGCGACCCACGATGCGGTGATTGTCGCGCTGCTGACGCCCCAGCCCAGCCCCAAACAGTTACGTTAGTAAGCCGAAAACATACTAAAACCTAAGAAAAATTATAATAAATTAATTAAACTCACGTTTTCACAAATGATAATAGTTAATTTTTATGTTCGTTTTTTCACAATATGCAACTTAGTTCTCACTATACTTAATCTACAATAGACAGATGATCAGGTGTATCTTCGAACGACCTGTTCAGGCATGCAAGTTGGTAGTCGAATGACCTTTTAGAAGAACATCAATACTTTATAAGTCTTGTGTCAGTCCGTCTAGGGCAAATAATAAATAACTTGACATAGGATACTTATAACTACTATGTTGGTCTAGATTAGGTGCTAAGCACTACTAAGCAGTCACGAAAAGTGTCGAGCAGAGGTCCGAAATATGCAATTTTACTAATGTATTTGTTAATGAATTTCAAAGTAGTTGATCTTTTAGTGCTGCATTTCCTGGTATTTCTTCTGTGCCTAAACAGGCGAATCCTTTGAAACCAAGTCTGTAGTTGAAACTGACTACCAAGATATCATGGCGAGCTAGGAAGTTGAACTTGGCCATGTTTCCATTACCTCCAGAGTAGTACCACTGTGAATGTAGACTAGAACTGGTACTAAATTATCTTGTATTGCAAGAAGTTTGCGGTTGGGTACTTGCCAACTAGTCAAATTTAATACTTTTTTCAAACTATCAAAAACGACAGCTTTCAATTTTGTACGAGATTGTGTATTGTGATTTCTGACGAACTGTCAAAAACGAGAGTTTTCTATGAATTTTGTACGATATTGTGTATTGTGACGTCACGTTTTTGTAGCGCACAACAGCATACTTATTTCTTTAAAAAATACTGGAAATATATTGAAATTAAGTTGGTCATAAAACCAATTAATTAAATTTTGATTATTGTTTAATATTTTATTATATTGAACAGTCGAAATATTTCATTTTTGATTGAGGGACGTACCCAATTGTGTTTGCTATTATATTGTCTATCTATGGTATCAGGCTCACCCCCTATTACATAGGACATAACACAACTGGCAATAATTTTTATTAACTAGGTCCAAAAAAACCGACGTCAACCCCCCTTTATATGAATACGGTTAATAAATATACGAGTAGTAAAACCTTCTCCTAAGTGTACCTAACAAACACTTATTGATAACCGCATCAAAATCGATTCAGACAAACGCGAAATGATTGTGGACAAACAAACATACAGTTCAAAGGAAGAATCTCCTTTTTTTGAAGTCGGTTAAAAAGAAAGTGTTTTGTTTAAGCGCACTTTCTGCCTACCTACTACTAACGTGACACTCGTGTTCGTGTGATACATAATTAGTTACAGTTAAATCCGGATTTAGTTTATTTCCTGGTTGAAAATACTACCTTATGTCCTCAATACAACAAACTTTATAGGTTTATTAAATATTCAATCGTCTTGATTTTAGCGTGTACTTATTTAAACCTTATTTTATATAATAGAGGAAACCTTCAAAAAACGCTTACTACGTCTCTCTTGAATTTATAGATTATTTACCCGCGGCTTCGCTCGCGTCACAAAAGGATAAAATGTAGCCTATGTGACATATACCAATACACACAGCGCCATCTATACCAATACTTTTGTTTTTCCTCGGGAATATCTATTTTTTCCGGGTTAAAAAGTACCCTATTATTTAATCCAGACTTCTAACTTGACGTCTGCAAAAATTCAAAGCAATCGGTTGAGTAGTTACGGCGTGAAGGTGGAACAAACAAACAAACTCACTTTCAGATTTATAATATTAGTAAGGATACCTTTTTTGGAGGGGGAAAATGATCCA